ATGTTAACCTTTACCAAAGCTTGAAGCATTGTTTGATGCCATTATATTCTTAATGATTGCCCATTGTTTTTGTGTGAACTGCAATCTCATTCTTACAAGATAAATTCATACCATTGCTGTTACCAAGAGAAATTCATACCATTGCTGTTGCCAAGGTTAATGTCCACTAACCACAAAGAAATAGGAATCAGACAATTATTCATCTTATTTATATATAATGTGAATTAAACAAGCAGTTTATAGCTTGAACACCTTGGTATTGGTAACATTTTAAAGATAGTGATAAATTACAAATCATATTGTAAAACATTGATTTGGAAATTTAAGTAATGTACTTTTATGCTGGATAATAATTATCAGAGGTGTTATTTTATTTGGAACTGAGTTTTTTCTTTTCATGACCAACAAGTCCTTGAAGGCACCTATTTGACTGTCATAATTAAATTTCCTGTAACATCAGCATGTTTGGCTTGAGGACTCAGCTTATAGGATATGAAATTTGAGTAATTGTAGTTTTTCATTTTCAATTTCAGTTTACTTGATTGAAGAATAATGGATTTTTTTCATTATTATCCAAAAGGAGGGTGATTTTATTTTTAATTATGTTATGACTTAATTTCACAAGAAGCTTTGTTGTATTCTTTTAAAATATATTCAGCAATATAATATAGGAATATTTTATTTAACATTCATAGTAATATTATAAGAAGATCCAATGAGTACAATCTGATTGCATTGGTTGATAGAGAGTGAGTGAGTGAGTGAGTGAGTGCATGTGTGTAAAACACCTAATTGGTGTTCAGTTTTCACACTCTTCCAGTAAATATCAAGGAAAGTGTTTGCTGGTAATTGTTAGTATATTTGCTGTGGAACTATTTAGAATGGATCCATTTTCACATGTCTCTTTGTCCTAAAAGATTTTTCACTAGTATTACTTTAGCAGTTTGTAATAGTCCTACTGATGCTAGCCAGTGACCATTTTCAGTGTAAGTCATAATCACTAATATCTCCTTTATTTTTGTTTCATTAGCTGCGTGTCGTGTCAGGTGGCAATGGTAAATGTGTTGCAGAGATGACCGTGGAAAAAGAACATGAAAATCGTGGAGGCACTCTGCATGGGGGACTCACAGCCACACTGGTTGATGTTGTATCAACAATGGCACTAATGACCACAGAAAAAGCTGTCCCTGGGGTGTCAGTGAATATAAATGTTTCGTAAGTAATGTTATACTATTTTTATAGTTAGTGTATGGTATTGTCAGTATTTGTTATTCATATGAGTTCCTGTAGAGTATATATAACAACATTTAATTTTGTAGTATGGCAGTAGTCTGTTACTTATCTTAAGAAAATGAGTATTCCACTATTCAGTTCTTTAACATTCTAAGTATAATCCATAGGTTCTCAAGACATTTTAAAATGCCACTAGTGACTTAAATATTATTATTATTATTTTTTTAAATTCTCTATGGTTATTGGAATAGTGACATATGTAGCTGGGCCATACAAACTATTGAAAAAAAAAAAATTCCTTTTAAATCTTAATGATTAATCAAAAGCCAGTAGATAGAGGAATGGAAAGCCTTTTTGATAGGCTGGCAAAGCTAGTTAGAGCTGTACCAGGATGCACCTTCTGCACTAGCCAGTAGCTTAAAGAAAACTTTCATAAAATTAGTGTGATATGAAATATAATTTTAAAGAAACTTTATTTGCAGTATATGTTGATTTTCAAATTTGATTGGGGAGGGGTATAAATAACAGATTAAAAGTTCTATAGTTGTACAATGGTTATTTATTCAGCATATTACATGCCTCATATGTAAGGAATTGCTTCATAAAATCATAGTGATCTTTAGAATTATTTCTTGGTCTCAGACTTGGTATGTGTAACTAATTAATTTCTACCATTAAATTACTCTCAGTATACTCATACTAGGCATAGTGAAAGGTGAGACAGCTATTTGAAAATCCTCCATACTGTCAGCATGGTAAAATGTTTTGCCTTTCAAAACACTCTCAGTTCATAAGTTAGATATACTCTACTGTGAAGATTGGTAAAACACTACTGTTTTGATACTATGGAAGAATAATCCATAATGTTCAAATAAGATTTATTGGAAAGTAAGACAACAGGTTTTAAAATCCTCCTGGATTTCACCTTCAGGTCTGCAGATGAAATCCAAGAGGATTTTAAAACTTTTATCTCACTTTTCATTAAATCTTGTTTGTGCATTGTGAAGGTTTTCCACCATGCTGTACTGTATGCTAGTGTCAAAGTTTGCATTTATTGGTCAAAATACTTCTTTATGTACAGATTCAGGTTATAGTTAACAAAATCAGTTTCAGTGCTTTAATATGACAAGGAGTATGAACTTACAGTTGGAAATGTTCAATATTGTAGATGCTCGGGTATTGTACCAAATCTGATTTTGTTCAAGGAAAGGCTTTGCTTTCTTCTTAGTTTTTTTGTGTGAAATGCTAGTTTTAGTGAAATAGCAGTTTTTAGTGAAAATACTGATTCTAAGAACTGTACAGTACTATCAATATATTAAAGTTCCCATAAGGGAAAGCTTGCCACTAATATCAAGTTACTCTTTTTCAAGATACATGAAGGCAGCAACATCGGGACAAGAAATTGTCATCAATGCAGAAACTCTCAGAGTTGGAAGAAATTTAGCTTTCTTATCTGTAGATATAACTAACAAGGAATCAGGTGCTCTCATTGCCACGGGGAGCCACACTAAATACATTGGATAAATACAAACTTGTTTCTATACAAGATGTCAATAAATATTTTGCCATAGAATGCAGTATAGTTTATTAACAAAAATAATTTATTATGTAATGATATCAAGGGAGGAGAGTTACTAAGAGAGATGCCTTATAATATTGATCTAGCCAATGTCAGATCATGCAGTTATAAATACTGAATTTTAGCAAATAGCATAATAAGTGTTTTGTATAATTTGTTACTAGTTTTCATATTGTACATATTATACTTTTCTTACCTCATACAAATGTAAGGTGCAAATAAAATATTTAACTTGAACCATTTTTTTTACATTTCTGTTTACACCCTTATTGCAATATATTAATAAAAGAAAATAATCCCATATCTACATGGCAGGGAAAATACTACTAAAATATATATCATAATAAATTAATAACTGTTCGTAGACTTCCGCAATCTTTAAATTTTGCTATAAGCATTTTTATATTTCCCCTTGGGAAAATAGTGTTCACTGTAGTATTTTGTGAAATATCTGCAAATAGATGGTTCCACAAGTTCTTACAAAAAAATTGTCAATAAGTAAACCTTTACTTGAGTTTTGGGAAAATATTTTTATAAATGGTATCATTATCAATGCTGTTATTATGTTATTGACACTACTAATAATAACACAAGAAAAAAATCTGAAAATCAAAGAAAAGGGTAAACTGGTGAGATAAGTAGTGCTTGTAACTGACTCAATGCTAAGTACTTGTGGACCCATCTATTTGTAAAGACAAAAAACTAAACTCACAATGGGCTAGGCATGTACATGCCATCCCCAGAAGAACCATGTTAACTCCTTGATAACTAAGCATTTTTAAATAATGTATTTGAAAATAAAATTAGTAAAATAAAACCACAGTGGACAGTGCATGTACCTAGAGCCAATGGTTCAAGTATTGGTAGTTTCAAAAACAGTTACTTCAACCATGGACCTGAAATTGTTGGGTAGTTTCCAATGTTATAAATAACACCACATATATGTCGACAATACATCAGATTTTTTTTTAACACTTGGTTATACAAAGAAATTTCCCAACAGCTGCCAGGTGAAGTGTCTATCATGTGTAGGTATCTTCTGCTATCCTTTTTTTTTCTTTTCTTTTCTTTTATTCCACAATGAAACTTAGTGGGGCAATACTAAATAGGATTCAAATGTATTCTTAACTAAAGGTATAGAAAAACATAGTGGATCTAGTCTATTTTATTGTAAGAATTTGTCAAGTATAAGTATAAAAATTGTTTTTACTTAGACATTTTACAAAATTACAAATGGTCTCTCTTTTATTTATTTTTCTTAGAGTTCCCTGCTGACTTTTCTTCTCTCTGAGGCCAAATGAGGAAACGGAGAGAAAAGATTCCCATAAAGAGAGTTTGTATCATCCAGCAGCATGTAACACCTGAATCTAGCTTCAACCTTTGGCAATAGTAGAGAGCTAATATAGACTCAAAAGCATGGATGGCAACTGTAGACAGAGTCCTGGAAAAAAAAGGAAAATATGAGAAAATACTTATCACATCTTCCTTATATGTTAAATATAAGATCTCAAATAACATATATTCACTAAGCAGCCTAACTTTAACTACATGAAATAGTTCTGCAAAACATACAACTGCTTCATAAGGTCGTTATTTTCTGTGCCGACCCATGCAATAAACTCTGCAACTCGACCAAAGAACACTGGGGAAACTCCTTTAGGATCTAGCCATGCCATCTGTTAAAAAAACAATACAACAAAGATAAGCATCCATACATGGAAATACAGCGCCTAATAATAACTATGTATTTTTACGCATATACTTGCAATTAAACAAACCAGTAATGATACAGTACCAATAAAATTTTATTCTACCATATTCTAAATTATAAGAGTAATTTCACTGACCACCATGAGGTACATTGCAGCTCCAACCAATGCTACGATGAGCGGGTTGACAAGCTTGAAGTAAGATGACGACAATTTCTTGTACTTTCCCATTTTTCCACTCTGAAGAAATATTATAGATGAGAATAAAATAACAATAACAATGATTAAACTGTAGTATTAATGACTTCGTACAGATTTCATATGAATATACATATAAATTAGATACTAAAACTAATGAAGGAATTAGATTTATGTGCCATTTCCGTCTTGCAATTCATTATCAGAAAAAAATATGCATAAAAATAAGACACTTGTTATGTAACTAGTAAGGATGAATACACTGAAATGAACTGCGGAAGTTTAAAAAACAGTTGACAAATGTTTAGATCATGACTGTATGAAGGTTGAGAAAACCCATGGTATTAAAGCTCTGGGACAATACAATACTATTTGATATTAAGTAGCAGAAGAATTAAAACACTAGCAGTTGCACCTTGGCAAAGGCAGCTGAAACTCAGTCATGTATATTCTGGCAAGATTGAAACTGTTAATCTCCTGTGGTGCTCTAAAATGAATGAGTCCTTGTTCTTAATGAATATGTGTAGGGGAGGTTTCTTTGCCATTGCCTGAATGTGAGCTGAATGCTTTGCTATGAGTAATTTTCTGTAAAAAAAAATCATAATCAATACTTTGCATTCAGGTCTGGTTTCTTTTGATATTTAGTAAATATAAGAGATCTCACTATATGAATTGTACTTTTGGTATCATTCCAGGACTTTTATTCTTAAAAAGGCCTGAAATATGTAGCTTTGCTCTGGGACATATACAGTGTTTTAAGAGTAAGAAGGTTCTGTTTGATTTCTGCCTAGGTTATTGTACACTCAACTTTTAAATTTCGCTTCAATGTACGCCTAAACAGCAATCGTTCGTCTTTCGTCTATAGATCTGATTTTCTACAAACGAAAAATCAATTTTGAAATTCGCTGTTGGTGATTGTTGTTTATATATGCAACAGATGTAAGTAAAAGACTAAATTATGACAAATATTACCTGAAACAGAATCTTGAACACTTCACAACACGATATATAATAGGAGAAGGGTCTTTATATCAAAAAGTGCTAAGAAAATGCCAATTATTACCACTGTTTACACTTTCCTTTACTTGCCTCCTCGTAAGTAATGCTGCAATAACACTTGCGATGCTGAGGATCTTCCCTTAACCTTAACCACAGAGAAGGTGACTGGTCATGGCAGAGATATCTTAGATGACTGTAAGATATCACGAGAAGACGCTGACCTTGAGTAATTGCCTTCAAGACGACGCCGAATCGAGACGTCAGTGGGGAAAATGGACGAAAAAAAAACAATTGGCAACTCTGCTTTTGCGGATTTGAAGGATTATTATTGTTGTTTATTATTCTGGGGTGAGATTTTAATAGTAATTTATGGGTAGACGTGTATAAGTAGAAGTTTCAGTAGGATCGTTTAATTGGAAGTATTTTTTTTTGTCTGAAAAGGTCAGTGATAATGATGATCATGGTAAGACTAGTTGCCTTATATATAATCCAAAGGAATATCACCAATTTTTAAATGTTGCAGGAACAATATGCAAAGCATTACCATAATGAACGGTTTATTTTGGTTTATTTTCCTTAATTCAATTCTATCTTTCATACATTACTCCGCAATTCTTCGCAAAACGACGAAATGAATTGGCAACTTATGCTGATCAGCTGATGCTGAGTTTTGAGGAATCCGGGAAGGAGTGGCTCATGACTTTTCAAAACTAAACTTGTTCTGCTTCAGAAAAAAAATCGCAAAATCAAACAGGCTACGCTTCACAAAAAAAAAGAAAAAAAAATGGGTGTATAAAATTAAGAAAAGAGAAGAACAAAGTAAAGTATACCTTGAATAGTCAGAAAATTCAGCGTAATTCCCTTGGAGAAAATTCATAATGGGCCTCGTTTCAACATGTCATGATTACTTAATTGTTTTTATCATTATTGTTCTTTATATTGATATGATTATTGAGGTTATTATTATCATATTTATAAGTTACTTTATTTTATTTATTACAACTTCTTATTATCATTATTATTAATACTATCGCTGTATTATTATTATTATTACTACTGTCATCATTATTATTATATGTACTATAACAGTTTTTATCATTATCATTTTTCTTATCTTTGTTATCATTATCATTAGTACCCTTATAATCTATGATTATTGTTATTATTATTCTTAATAATTATACTATTGTTAATAATAATGCTGTTATTATCATTACAATTATCATTTTAATTAATCTTATTATTATTACTATCTATTGTCATTATTATTTGTATTATCATTATTATTATCAATACCATTGTCATTGTAATCATTTTTCATTTTCGTTACTGTTAGTATTACTGTCACAATTAGTAATATCATTATTATCTTGATGATTATTTTTATCTTTATTATTATTAATGCTATTATTATCAGTATCATTATTATTATCTCTATTATTACAATCATTATTATTATTATTACTGTTATGATTTTTGTTATTATAATAATCACATTATTATCTTTGTTATTACGGTCATTATCATCATCATTATTGTTATCATTATTATTATCAGTATTATCATCATTACAGTCATAATCATTATCATTATAATTGTATTATTATTATTATTATTATTATTATTATTATTATTATTATTAATCGTAGTAGTAGTAGTATCAGTTATTATTACAATGATTATTACTATAATAACAATGATAATAATAATGATTATAATAAATATAATAATAATGATAACGATGATAATATTATAACTATTATCATTATAATCTTAATAATAATAATAATGAAAATAATCATTAACATCATCATCGTCATTAGCATTAGCATTAGCATTATCTGCACCAGTATGAAGATATTATCGATTTATCATATTCATTATACCATAATGATTGTGATTGTTATCATTATCACATTCAAGGTAATTAGTTTTTATTAACCTCATTGCAACTCCTAACGAAATTCTTGTTTTATAGATATAGCTATTCTTTGTTGTCATGTTTTAAATACGTCTTATTTATTCATCTGTATTAATAAAAGTGCAATATATGTATTGTATGCAACGTGATATTCTCGAAGGAGATGGAAATTTAACAATTATTATATAATTACCAACGGACAAAATTAGGGTAGGTAGAATTCCTCTACGTAACTTTGTACATGCAAAACACAGCTGCATTGCACCTGTTGGTGTGTAATTACACTAGTGAGAAGCGGTAAGAAAGACTTAGTTGCCACAGCCGTTCATATCTCCCTGTTTTGTAATTGCATTAAAAGTACAGTAAATAAGATTGTGAAAAAAAGAGAGAAAGAGAAGGGCAGAGACGGAAAGCAAGAGAGAGGAGAGAAAGAGAGCTGTTTTACTTTCATTTACATTAGTTAAAACAGATAATGTTCAGAAAATATGTTCAAAAGAGTATCAACAATATTCTACATATTTATCTGAACTCAAAACTGAACCAAACGTTGGGCTTCAAGTATAAATGAGGACACGAGTAGACCCAATGTAAATATGGGAATGATGACGACTGAAAAAATGCTATGACGGTTGCAAACTTATATTAATAAGCATATGAAAACATTATTGCGTGAATGGAAGATCGCCGTTTTCATCATTGTGCAAGTAAGCTGTCTGTATTTTCAACATTGGTTAGCAAATAGGGTAAACGTAAAACCTGTGACGATGAGACAGAGAAAAAAGCGGAGATGGAGAACAAGGCTCCGGCAAAGTATATGACAAAAAAGAAACAAAAAAGAAAGAGAGATATACAATCAAGGTCAAGAAAAAAGGCCTTCAAGGCCACTGAACCTCTGTACTCATCTACATCGGTCAATACAGGTAAAGTGTTACAGAAAGATAGAACATCATTTAGGAATATATAAACTGTTAATTTTAAGAGATCGTCACTGTGACATTGTTTTTGTCTTTACTTTTGGTTAAAGTATATTTTGTTATAGGTTTTGGGTAATATCCCTTTTTACGTAAGTATTGATATTAACATTCGCATCACGGTTGCCCGGTAATATTCATAGAACTGAACTGGCTGTTTTCAGTCCCATGCATATACATAATGGATGACGATCACTTCAAGGAACGATTTGCATGTTATGTGTTACGTATCCAAATTATGCGGAGGCATGGCTACCGCGGGCTAGAAAATCTACACAAACACACATACACAGATACTTCTATCTATCTGTATATATATGCATGTACGTATTTATATGCACACATGTACTCCTATAAATAGACGATGGGATACAGCAGCCTATCTCTGTGTGTCCTGCCACACGTCGACCTTTCCCTCTTATCGCTCTACAATATAAAGATTTTCATAACTGCCGGCGTGAGTGTCTGAACATCGATATGCGATGCCACGTAAGCATACCCCCAAGCGCGTGTGTTTGAGGTCATTGATAACAAAGATAAATGTTGTCAGCCGTCAGTGCCCAGCTAAGGTACCAACGTTCACCTAAATAGTCTCATATTTATGTTAATCATATATTCAATAACGCAGTATCATAACTCCAATAACTTACGTATGTTGGGATAACACTAGAAATATGGAATGTACAAACAACTATAGCCGATCCTGATAAGCTACTTCGATTGAGGAAAAGTGTATATATATTCAGAAATTTCATTATTGCGTAACAAAACTATTGGAATTAATTATTGCATCTTCGGATAATTCAGTAATCTTTAACTAAAAAATACGAATTCCTAATTTTCATTCGAATAAAAGCAGTGAACACATTTCTTCAAAATAAACTGGGAAAATAGTATATATATGTATGTATATATATATATATATATATATATATATATATATATATATATTGCGTGTGTGTGTGTGTGTGTGTGTGTGTGTGTGTGTGTGTGTGTGTGTGTGTGTGTGTGTGTGTGTGTGTGTGTGTGTGTGTGTGTGTGCGTGCGTGCGTGCGTGTGCGTGTGTGCGTGCGTGTGCGTGTGTGCGTACGTGTGTGTGCGTACGTACGTGTGTGCGTACGTACGTACGTGTGTGTGTGTGTGTGTGTGTGTGTGTGTGTGTGTGTGTGTGTGTGTGTGTGTGTGTGTGTGTGTGTGTGTGTGTGTGTGTGTGTGTGTGTGTGTGTGAGACTGCCGCGATAGTCCAATGGCTAGAGCACTGTACTCCGACCCTCGCGATCCCGAGTTCAATTCCTCGTCACGGCAGTCGTAAAAATGCCTGCGCTCTGACTGCTTGCTCGAGCCTGAGAAAACGACAGGTGTCGTAGGGGAAGTCACCGCCGTGGCACAAGTGTTAGCGCGCCGAACCGCGGTTGATTAGGAAGGGCATCCAATCAGGCAAGGGTGAGACTGCCATAAAACCTCTCAATAGTGAATTGAGAAAGGCCTATGTCCTGCAGTGGAATGAATGGCTGTTAAGTAAAAATAAATGTATATATATATAATATATATATATATGTATATATATACACATACATGCATACATACATACATTTATACATTTATATATGTATGTGTGTGTGCTTTGCAGACTAAGCCGATATGTTGAATGAACAGGTATCTGTAACGACGGACAGAGGCACAAGTGTAGGAGAGTTATTTCCAGGGAGTCTGTTAGTCCGAGGTGTGAATTCTGTCCTTCTGACGTGTACGCACGCAGACGAAGGCTTTTATACAAACCTAGAGAAAGAGAGGAAGGTCTAAGATAACATGTACCGGAAGACATATAGACGACAGGCAGGAGAATGCTGGGGAGCCAAGCACAGAGGCCTCACTTATTTTGATTTTCGCATCCATTGAGCGTCAGGTCGCAGCCGGGGCGGAAGCAGGAATGGTGTAAAATTATATATATTGTTAATTGAAAATGGAATACAAGGATTATATGCAAAAGTTACAAGAGCGGGTGACCCACTAGTGAGAAGCGGTAAGAAAGACTCAGTTGCCACAGCCGTTCATATCTCCCTGTTTTGTAATTGCTTTAAAAGTACATAAAATAAGATTATGAAAAATAAAGAGAGAAAGAGAAGGACAGAGACGGAGAGCAAGAGAGAGAGAGAGGGAGAGAAAGAGAGCTGTTTTACTTTCATTTACATTAGTTAAAACAGATAATGTTCAGAAAATATGTTCAAAAGAGTATCAACAATATTTTGCATATTTATCTGAACTCAAAACTGAACCAAACGTTGGGCTTCAAGTATAAATGAGGACACGAGTAGACCCAATGTAAATATGGGAATGACGAGTGAAAACTGAAATGCTATGACGGTTGCAAAATTATATTATACTGTGAAAACATTATTGCGTGAATGGAAGACCGCCGTTTTCATCATTGTGCAAGTAAGCTGTCTGTATTTTCAACATTAGTTAGCAAATAGGGTAAACTTAAAACCTGTGACGATGAGACAGAGAAAAAAGCGGAGATGGAGAACGAGGCTCCGGCAAAGTATATGACAAAGAGAAACAAAAAAGAAAGAGAGATATACAATCAGGGTCAAGAAAAAAAGGCCTTCAAGGCACACACACATTATAAATGTATACACACACACACATACATATATAAATACACACACACACACACACACACACACACATATATATATATGTATATATATATATATATATATATATATATATATATATATATATATACATAAATAATATATACACATATAAACATATATATATATATATATATATATATATATATATATATATATATATATATATATACATATATATACATACAATTGCCGCGATAGCTCAGTGGTTAGAGCACTGGACTCCGACGCTCATGGTCCCGGTATCAATTCCCCGTCGCGGCAGTTGTAAAAAATGCCTACGCTCTGACTACTACCTCGAGCTCGAGGAAACGACATATCGCCTTGAGAAGTCAAACGCAGGTGTCGTAGGGGAAGTAACCGCCGTGACACAAGTGTTAACGCGTCGAATCGCGGTTGATTAGGAAGGGCATCCAATCAGGTAAAGGTGTCACCGCCAAATAACCTCTCAATACTGAATTGAGGGAGGCCTATGTCCTGCAGTGGAATGAATGGCTGTCGAAAAAAAAAATATATATATATATACATACATATATATACACACATACATATATGTATATTCAAATATATACATACACACACACATATAATACATATATTCATATATACATACATGCACACATCTGTATCAATCTACACTCACTATCTCTCTCTCTCTCTCTCTCTCTCTCTCTCTCTCTCTCTCTCTCTCTCTCTCTCTCTATATATATATATATATATATATATATATATATATATATATATATATATATATATATATTTGCGTGTGTGTTTATGTATGTATGCGTGCATGTATACGCTCACACACACTCCTCACTCTCTCTCTCCCTCTCCTCTCTCTCTCTCTCTCTCTCTCTCTCTCTCTCTCTCTCTCTCTCTCTCTCTCTCTCTCTCTCTCTCTCTCTCTCTCTCTCTCTCTCTCTCTCTCTCTCTCTCTCTCTCTCTCTCTCTCTCTCTCTCTCTCTCTCTCTCTCTCTCTCTCTCTCTCTCTCTCTCTCTCTCTCTCTCGCTCTCATACATCTGCGCGCTTGCAGGCGCCGGAACACTCATTCTGTAATTGAAAACTTTGCATATAAATGCTTGTGCTTACCCCTGTAAACACAGCAAAAAAAATCACAGCCAGCAACATTACAAAAATGCAACTGTATACATTCATAAGCAAATTCATTTATAAGTTAATTAGCCTACACCAAAAACAGTAATAACTCCATACCAATGAAAAAGTAAAGACTC